CATTCACAAAATAGCACAAGTTGATTGATTATTTTAGTAATAGTCTAAAGATTGTGCGTTTTTTTCACAGGACTTAATGGTATTGGATTCGATCTCTAGTTGAGATGTGAATATTCATCAATGTGAAGTTCAATACATAATAGAATAAAATAGCTGTTAAATGCTTTCCTATTTCCAATAACTCTCCAGAAAAATTCATATAACTATATTTTCTATCTGTACAAATGTTTATATCATTTATCACTAATTCACTACATAATAAAAAAAGATGGATAGTAGCTAGCAGCAGCATCGAGGACTCGCGTTTCATACTATTTGAGACTCGTCAGTTGGTTGTACCTGCATCCTAGGGTTGATGTTCACTCCGACACTTGAATTCAATGCCATTCTTTTCAAACGCCATCGCGTTATTCGCTTAGCTACTGAATCCTGAACATCAATTCTGAGATGGAGGTACATCTAGCTGACGAGTTCTAAATCAAACGAAATACGCGTCCTATATTCCACTGCTAGCTATCATCCATATTTGCTTATAAAGCTTCCGACTTAATACAATATCTAGACAGTCCACACATGATGTACATACACCAATAAGCGACTAATCAATAGCAGATCTAAACAACAATCGAATGATACAAGTAAACAATACCAAATTGAATTTCCACTACTTAATACTTCTATAATTTACATTATAGCTTTAACATTTAATAGTTCATTAAAATCATTATAATTTGTTGACTTTTCTTGTTTACATATAAATATGTATATTACAATAAACCTGAATACAGTCTATTATGATGAATATGAAATTCATACTTTTATTATTCTTATTATTATATAAGTAGTAGGTTGTTCAAAATCATTTGTTATTTCTATTTTTGTTTAAATGAATAAACTTTCATTAACTTTAGTCAGATATATATATATATATATATATATATATATATATATATGATTGTGTAGTTCACCCTGTATTCAGTAGTATCTATCATAGAATAAGTGCACATGGGCTCCAGTATCCTGCGGGAACAAATGGCGTATGAACCAATCGTTGGTCACCGGCTACCATGGGACTGCATCTCCTTACGCTGCTCCACTGCCTTGTGGATCAGACGTTCAGGTCAAAGGCTCGGGGTGTGGCCCCCTAAGAAAACCACCTGCTTCGGTTTCAGCACCCGGGCAGTATCACATCCCTCACACAAATCAATTGAGATTCGTGTGGCGCATATGTATTTGGTGCCTCCGTGTACCAATACCTATGTGTTAAAATAAATAAATAAATAAATAATCTATCATAGAATATTTCTGGTCTTAAACTATTCATAAGAATTACTAATGACATATATACATATTAAGGTTTAATTGTTTTATCAACAATAACATTGACAATCTATTATTAAACTGATTTAATAATTAAGATCTTGTTGTTATTGTTATTGTTGTTGTTGTTGTTATTTTGGCTTACAATCATAGAATAGAAGTATAATTGTTAAGTAGGTTCAAAGTATTTTTCTATTGTAAAAATCAATAACAGTCTAGAAAACCGTTGACAACTATTTTATACAATTCGAGTTAAATAGAAACTTCTCAGAAACATTTACACAGTATAGAGTTGGGTGTCATATTTACCTACTACTTACTATTATATTTAGTGTGATTTCAGGAACTTCTAAAATTCTATAATTATCTGTAATACAGTAAATACTCTTGTTTTTCTGTACATAAACCATTATTGAAATAAAGCATTCTTGTAACACTTCACGTTTGTACTGAATTTGTCGTGTAGATTTAGCATGAGGTTATTAGAAGCGGCTAGGAAATCGTATTGAATGTTCATTTAGGAAACTTATTCACTTATTTACGCCTGTTAATCACATTGAAGCATAAGTCACCGACCAGCGTTCTCCAACCCACTCTGTACTGGGCCGACTTTTCTAGTTCCTCCCAATTCTTGTTCATTCTTCTCATGTCTATCTCCATTTCCCGGCGTTATGTGTTCTTTGGTCTTCCTGTTTTCCTTTAGCCTTGAGAATTCATGGAGAGTTATCACATATATTGTCAATTTTACAAGTGGTTAATAGTAGTAAGGTGTGTGTGATACTTATCAGTCATGAGTACCTAATAGACAGTGATAATATTGTGTCATTGAAGTGTATCACATTGTAAGATGGTTAGAAGAGTTAAAAGAAAAGAAATCCTGAATATCTGTTTCATTCTAGTTGAGATTCGTTAGTGAAATATTTGCATGCTTGAAGGACATGGAGTTCTTTGTGCTGTTCTCACCGTGACTGACCTTCTTGTAGAACAGAAATGTCTATAGAAACTAATTAGTTAGGAGTCATAGATGTTAATGTTTGTCTATTACACGTTTTATTCTCATGGACAGTTTCAATTCCCACACAAATGTCTCGTGTTCGAACGGCTAACCTCTAGACCACTGAGCCAGAATAGCTACCTAAATTTCAGAAACATATTTTTGATTATCGCAAACACTTAGTTCAACATCTATTAAATGAACGGAGGGTAACATTGCCACATCGTCATTGACACTGGATTTCTGTATGAAGTCACTCAGTGAAGTTGCTATATTGTTAGTAAATGTGATATACTACTAACTAATTAACAGTAGCTGTGTGTTATTTGCGTCTAACGGGCAATTGTGTTTCTCAGTTTAAATCACGAACTGATCTTAGATAGACAACCATTAAAATCCAGAGAACACTGGACGTCTATTTCGTCACAATATCAGACTCTACGGGGGTGCTTATCCACGATCTGAAATTTGAGAATCGAACCCAAGAACTTTTGTCTCACGCGTGAAAGCATAACCTCTAGACAATTGAGCCGGGATCTAAATATGTAAATGTTTAAGACCAATGAATTTTTGCACAATTCTGATATTCAGAAGAATTTTTGGCCAGTTTCTGTTAAAAATATGGTCTCTTTGAGCGAATGTATCAACATTCTATAAAGTTGTAAGTTCTGTTATATTTTTGGACATTGACTAGCAATGAAATTCAAGATACTATTCACCAATATAAATATGCTGTTATTGAGCTCCATGAGGTAGATAGTTGAAGTTCGATGCCTTCATTTTTGTTAGAAGTTACATTTTCACCCCTTTATTTATGTAGATGACGATGTGTTCTAAAGCTGAAAATAAGAGTTCACTAACTAAACCATTAAACCTTGAGAACTTAACAACACCGAAAGCATACACATGAGCTTCAATTCTTAACTATCATTTCAATGAGGATGCTTATTGATTACTTTGTTACAGACATCATACATGACTAGAATACAGGAAACTGATTTATTAGCTTCTGGAAAATAAAATTTGTCAAAGTGTTTTAAGGAAATGATGTTCATGATTACTCATCTATGAATAAACTTGGAATAAACTGTATCGATTATGAACCAAGATATAGATTGTGCCCCGCGTTTACTGGGAAGAAGTATCTTATTTTTTCAAAGGGGAAGATGATGGATAGTAACAGTTGAAGTTAACAGTTGTAACTGCTGGATGAAATCCTAGGTGACGATAGCTTTTATCCCACAAGGAACATTAGTCTAGACAATAGTTCACACTTGTCAGTCGTAAGTGACGTAGAACCTAACATATAAGTGGATTAATTCGGGTTATCAAATCACATTAGTACAGCAAGATTAATTTATCAAAACAGTATCAATAATAACTGAAATTATTAAACATACATAATAAGATTTATGAAGAAAGAATTAATTCCCGAAATGATGTCAAGTTTTTGGTTTGATCACCTATAGCTTCCTTTTAACCTACTCTTGCATCAGCTGTTATTGTGAGGTATGTGATGTTTGAGGTTAGACCTAATATAATAAATGTCTCAAACAACCTCATTTGTTTAAGATTCACAATCTTGTCAACCAAGTTACTACACATACATTGTACACAAAAGTTAACTAGCACAACATTTTGATGAAGCAATGGTTCCATTTGATTGTTTTCAATTATCTAACATTATGAAACTCTAAATCTCTTCTCTATGTATCAGTTATCAAAATTACCATTAAACAAATTGAGTTTATCTCAGTTTTCCTGTACATTAATCAGTTGTTGTTTCTTTCTACATTTAAATATCACCATGAATTCAGTGTTAAATCTAAACAGTATATTTAATACTGATAAACCAACATCTTTTAAATAAATGAATTCATGAGTTAATTAAAGCCAGATCACCATGGAAAACCCGGAAGTACCGAACAACCGTTTCGTTTTAGCATGGGACTCCTTAACCTTCAATCATCTGAAAAACTAGTTATCTGGTGAATAAAAATAATCTTATTCAATTTTGTTCTATTAATTTGAAAAATAATCATTTCTTCTATAAAACGAAACTATCTTGTAAACTTTCTGTTTTTTACATTGCAAACAATTAATTATTCAATCAACTCATAGTAAATTAAGCCAATCATTTATCATAGAAGGGTTTTGTGGATATTATAGTAATTTTTATTAATTGAATTTATGAGTCAAATGAAGCTAGTCCACCATGAAAAATCTGCAAGCACTGGACGGTCGTTTCGTCCTGATGTGGGAATCCTTAGTAGTGCGCATCCACGATCCCGCACGTGAGATTCGAACTTGGGACCTATCGGTCCCGAGAGCAAATACATTACCTCTAGACCACTGAGCCGACCAGTATCTAACGATGTTAATGTTTAACTTCAACTAATCCACAAAATTAAGCGACACATCCACCAGTGAATTACTATCTCACAACAAACTTAGTTGAACTCCACTAGTCACATCTTCTCGCTAGAACTCCAGGATATACCTCTTGAAGTCACTCACTAGTAAGCAAATAACAATTATAATCAGAGGGTTTTTGTGGATAGTATAGTAATTTCATTAGTTGAATCCATAAATGAATTTTTTTTAAAAAAATAAGTGTTCGCATATATATTTCTTGTGACTTTTTTTTCTCTCTCTATTTCTTCTTTTATTAACAATTAAAATATAGATCTCATTCAAATGAACCAGATCAAAAAATTGAACAAACAATTATAACAGAACAACATTCAACTATTCATATACAAATTGATCAAACAATTAAAAATACATGTACTTTAAAACAATCAGACGTTGAAATCAGTGAAACAGAACCACAACAACCTGAACCACAACAACAACCACAACAACAACAACAAAATGAGTTTCCAAATCAATCAAATCATCCCATTCCTGAAAATATCAATAATGATAGTACCAATATAACACTTATAAATCATCAAAAAATCAATACAGTAAATGATAAAAAATTAAATAATAAACCTAAACGTAAATATATCGATGAAAATATGATAACAGTTAAGGAAAATATTATTTCATCTGTTAATAATGATATACTACTTAAAACTACTGATTTCATTATTTCTAATGAAAATGAGAATAACTCCATTGAATCAATAAAACAAATTGATATTGAAATAAATGAAATGAAATCATCAATTGAACAAACACAATTATCAATAATAAATCAAATAAGATCAAATAATTCCGATAATAAGAAATCAATAAAAAAATTGAAAAAAAAACAAAAACATTTATTATCATTAGAGAAAAATACATCTGAGATAATTATTGATACTAATCAATTACCTATAGAAAATATATCATCAGATAATGAACATAATGAATTAATAAGTAGTATTATTACATCAGATATAAATAATTATCAAGTAAATATTACTGATATAACATATACTACTACTACTACTACTACTACTACTACAACTACTACAAGTAGTATTCCAAATGAAATCTCTTCATTACAATTCAATATAAATGATAATCAATCATCTATAAACAATGTAATTGAAGTAGATCCACAATACAATGAGAACTATATTGAAAAATCTATGAAACATTTAGAGGAAAATCAAAAAATAGAACAAGAAATAGAACAATCTGAAAAAAATATTGAACCTTTAAATTTCTCATTTATATCTGAACCAACTATCAATATTTCAACAGATAATGAATACAATAAACCAAATGATATAACATTATCCTCTATAGAGATATCAATCCATAAACAAGATCAATTATTATATGATCCTGTTCGTTTACATGTCATTCCTAATGAAATGATTGAATCAAATCAATTCACTAAATATTGTTTATTAAATGAAACTAATAGAGAAAATGATCCAGAATTATATCATGAAATGATACATAACAATGAAATTTCTAAACAAACTCTAGAAAAATCTAATCAAGAATCAATTAAAAAGAAACAAACTATATATAATCCATTAGAACAAATGATAGATCAAAAAATATCAATAAATGATCTTATCCATTCTCAATCAATAGATTTAATCAATCAATCTATTAATCAACAATCAATCATTGAAAATGTATCAATATCAGAATTATTATTTATTCCACAGAATATTCAATCTATATCAAAAACAACACCTCAAGGAATTAATGAACAAGCTGACATTAAGGATAATAATAATAATAATAATAACAATGTCGAACTATTATCATCACCAGAATCAATTATTGATGAGAAAAAGTTTAAGAAAGGATCAAAAAAATCTAGAAAAAAACATGAAAAGAAATATTCCGATATTGATAATCCTATAGAACAAGATTCGTGTATAATTGTTAATGAAGTATTACCTGAGGAAGAGGAGAAGAAGGAGACGAAGACGAAGAAGAAGAAGAAGAAGAATACAACAGATTCAAAAAATGATCATTTACAAGTGGTTAACATGTTTGATATAGAGATGACATCAGAATCTAGAAATGAAGAATATATTAATCCATCTATAATTGAAAATCAATCAGATAAAATCAATATGTCATTTTCCGATCCAACATTCTATGAATTAAACAGTAAAAATTCACAATCAGAATTTTGTATAGAACAAACACCTAGTAAACAACATACAATTATTCTAGAAACTAACAGTTCATCTGAACAAGTTTTAAATGATAATACACTTACTACTGAAATAACTCATATAAGTAGTACAATTCCAGTAGATGATCATTATAAAACTTCAGTATGTATTGAAAAAGTACAATTCAATAATATTAATAATGATAGTGACACATTAGTAGAACAATCATCTTTAAGAAAAGGAGATATCAGTGAAATTATTACAGATTTGACATTAGGTGATTCAGAATTAAACATTGAACATGAAGATACTAATAAAAATTCATTGAAACAATCAAAAAAGAAACAAAAGAAAGCAAAACAACCAATTGAAAAGAATATAAAAGTGACTGAAAGTTATAAAAATACTACTGATACTTCTGAATCTAATTCCTTTCAAATATCATCTATTCCTCAGAGTATAGCAACAACAAATGATATAAGTCAAACTGTAGACACTCCTCTATCCACTGATATCATAAAAATAAGTGAACAAACACAACAGCCAACAATATCATTGAGTTCAAATGATTTGGTTAGTCAACTTTCGGATGAATTCAGTAAAAAATCATCAAAAAGAAATAAAAAAACTAAGAAAGTTAATATGCAATCTAATGTTTCAGATGATCATTACTCTTCAAAGTCTACGTCTATCATATTACGTAATTCTTTGATACCGGTTGATGAAGTATATAGTACTGTATATAGTAGTAGTAGTAGTAGTAACAGTAAAAACACTAATAATAATAATAATTTCACATCAATATCAATTCCATTTTGTAAAACAATTTGTAAAGTTTCTCATGAGGAACTACAAAATTCTTTAAGTCATAGAAATACATCTAACTTAAAAGTAAAAAATAAAAAACTTCATTTGAAAAATAACAAATTAAAGAATAATAAAACAACTATTCTTAATCAATTGAATGATACATTGAATAAAATTACAATGGGACAATCATCACAATTAGTTACTGAGGAAGAAACACAAGAAAACACTAGGAAACGACGTTTTCCTAAGTCTTTCATAACTCAAGTAAGTTAATATATGTAAAACAAATGAGATTATTATATGAAGTCATTCTCTCTAGTTTCAGGCTTTGTAAGTATATATTCAATTTAAGATTGGGTTTGGTACAGGCCTACAATACTCGCTAATTTCGGATTACAATATTACATTATATAATTACTATATCTGACCAACACGATTAACTTGTTTATGTTTCCGGTTAACTTACGATAAATTCTGTTTACAAACGTTTAATGATTCTTTTAATATGAACACAAATGAATGGGAACTCGAATATCTCTCATACAACAACATTTCAACGCTAATAATCTACATACCAACATGAGTTAGAGAAGACTGGACTGTTGGGATAATTTTATATTTAGAAAATAAGTTAAAAAAGAAACACCTTGTTTATGTCATAACATACAATGACCTTAGAGGACATAAAAAAATAAACAAACTAAAAATGATAACAATCAGAGTTGTTGAAGAAAAATAACCACTAATTAGAAAAATGTCATCGAGTTTATTTTTTTAAAAAAGGACTACCAAATGCCATGGTACGGTCAAGGGTGGAGAGAGTCCATTCTTCCCATGTAATCCCTTTCACATGACTACACGTATACAACCACTAACAGGGAAGTCATACTCACTACCTTCTCGAGAAATGGGTGTTGTTTACAAAATTGAGAGGACAAACAACGAATGTCCAGCATCCTAACCTGGTTGATGAGTACAGAGGACCAACTCAGAGGAGTTAGGAAACCCTGATTCCAAACCAACAGTGAACATTGGCTCTAGGATCTTGAGGGAACAAATGGTGTGTGAACAAAATATTGGTCACTGTCTACCATGGAACTGCATTTCCTTACGTTGCTTCACTGCCTCGTGGATTAACAGTACGAGTGCTGCGTGTAGGATTGTGGTTGTGCACAGGGGATTCGTGTTGCTGAGGAGTCCCATACTAGGACGAAACAGTCGCCCAGTGCTTCCAGGTTTTCAATAGTGGTCTAACATTGATCGATTCATCGTCCCAATCAAAAAGATGATAATAGTAATTGCTTTTATTATTTGTTTACCATCTTTTCACCTTCTTTCGAATTCATTTTGTTCATCTATTTTGTGTTAGTTTGTTAGGTATTTAATTATTAAAATACGGTCAACTAACCGGTTTTAATTGGTTCATTATCATCACAATTCCAAAATATTTTCAGGTCTTTCAATCATACCTCTGGTTATAAGTGTTCGTATCTTCTACATTAATCGATAAAATGAATCGATTTCCTTTAGTGATTTATTGATCAATTAATTACAGTAATTATCAGTCGGTCTTTTTGAAGTACACAGTAGGAAGTCATCAAATCAGAATTAGTTTCTATGATTACAATCTTCAATCGATTGCCGAATAATCAAAGAAAATTCGTGGGTGTGTATTTGAACTATAGAGTAAGAATCCTTTCACATCAAAATCAAAGATATGTCTTTCTGATGAGTATCGGGACATCTAATCCTAAAGCTTCCCAACAGTTGACTTTAATCATTTTTCCTCACCAGGTTTTTGTAAGATAAAGTTCCCCATTGTATTTAAGTCCATACTTTTGTGTAGTGATTTCTTTCGAATATGACCTCATCTTTCATGATCCAGAATGGAATACTGGGTATATTTCTGCATAAAGTAGGTGTAAATGTTATTATCTAGAATTACAATAAAATTTCCTTAATTATAACATCTAGCACAAAGAACATAACATTGTCAAAGGTACCCTACTGAAGTGCAATTGTCTATTATTTCAGTACTGAATATGCTAGATACAAATCAATTGTAGGCGATTAATAATTTGATTTCTTAAACTTTCAATGGTCTATTTTCATGTAGTTCTTAGATTTAAAGCGTACAATATGAAATGATCATTTAAGATGTCCTGATTTCTAGTATCTTCACAATACTTGCTTACTTACTTAAACCTGTTACTCGTCGTGGAGGAGCATGGGCCGACCACCAGCAATCTTCACAGTAAGGCTCATCAAAATTAAAAATTCAGAATTACGATGGCTTGAATCAGTAAGAAGAATTTCGTGTATCTTTTTGACTTCTTCCTGTACATTTTCACCTTTGTTTTTACACATAGCTCATCATAACATTACCATCTTCTATTTTTTGTTTGTATCCTAGGTTGATCCAAAATATATTCGTTCTGCTCGTTTAGCTGCTAAACGAAGAAGAACTGATTCAACTAATAAAGCAAAAGAAACATCATCATCATCATCTACAGATAAAAGAGAGACATCAATTAAACAGAAATCTAAGAAAATATTGAAAAAATGGCGTCTACGACCAAGTTTAAGAGAAAATGGTGTAATTGTTATTTTATTAGCTGGACGACATCGTGGTAAACGTGTAGTTAGTTTAGGTAGACAAAAATCAACAGGTCTTTTACTTGTCACTGGACCATATTGTTATAATGGTTGTCCATTACGTCGTGTTCATCCAGATTATGTAATTGCTACTAAAACAAAGATTGATTTAAGTAGTGTAAGTTGTTGTTGTTGTTTTTTTCTTGTTATTGGTATTTTAATGAATTTGAAGAACGTTTCATGTTCACTGAATAATGAATGTTTAACGTCATCCAGCCCTCCCTTCTATTGATTAAGGTATGGTGATATATATTAATGTTAAGAATTACTGCAGTTAATATTTTTGATGTAACGGTAAAAGTAAACGGATTTCTTGTTTTTTTCTTTTTGGAGGTGCTTATGTGATTGAACTGTAAGACAGGAGAGAGAGAGAGAAAGAGAGAGCAGTTCTATTGATCAATGATTTTCGGTTAAACGATGACACGATGATAGTGAGATAAAAGCTGAAGAAGTGACTTACACTAAGCCACGAAACGTCAGAAAATCTAATTTTCTACTCATTGGGATATTACAAATATATTATTTATTTATAATAAAACTTAATGATTATTGTAAGCCAAAATAGATTGTAGCTAGCAGTAGAATTCAGGACGCACGTTTCGTCTTATTTGAGACTTGTCAGCTGAATGTACCTACATCTTAGAATTGATATTCATTCTGAGAATCAAAAACATCATCCGATTACACATGCTAGTGGCTATAAGGACTCCGTAGCTAAGTGGATAACGTGATGGTGTTAGAAGTAAACGATACTGTGTTCGAGTTCCGAAGTGAACATCAACTCTGAGATGCAAGTACATCCATCAGACAAGTCTCTAATAAGAAAAAACGCGCATCCTAGATCCCACTGCAAGCCACCATCCATCTTTGCTTACAATACTTGTGACTTGAGGTAATATCGAGACAATCTTCACAAGATACACATATGCTAATAAAAGACTGATTAATTGCAGTCCTTAACATCAATGGGAAGATGCAAACATACAATACAAAAATGAATTGATGATTATTGGTTTAAAATGCAGTTTCCTTTTCTCGTTCACTCGATAGCCAGAATGGAACGCAACCCCGACAAGCAGACAACTTCTAATTAAGTGGTTTGAATTTATGAATCACTTATACGATGATATAAAGTACAATTCTGTCCACATATCAACATAATTCAAAAAGTAAATATTGGATGTAACTATGCCTTTAAGTGAAAGAGGACTGAACAATTGATCTGTAATAAATTAACAATAACTCAGAAAATATAATTATCGAGTATCAGATGTTGGATAGAAAGGCAAACATAACTATTTCTCTTTCACTATGACATGTTGATTTTTAGACATACATGGACAGGCACATAACTATTGTGTATGGTTCTATTTCATTTGTAGTTGTATTGAGTTTTAAGTGGATTAGACACCAAGTAAGTTTTTTTTTGAAACCTGAATACTACAGCTTGATACTCTAGTGAAACCTTTCTCACCAATCAATTGCAAATAATTGTTTTGATCAATAGTGTCGTCGATTATTTATATATGTCACGAATCAGTCGATTTTGCCTCCATCTTATTTACTTAATTTACTGAACTCATAATTATAAACAACAGAGATGTGCACTGTAATCTATCACTGAAATAGATCCTTAAAAACAACAAGATTAGTTATATAAAAAAACGACTAGGGATCAATTGAATCTGAAAACGTGAACCATTGAAGTATAACAGAGTAGGCTGTCAATTAAGTCCGAGAGAGAGAGAGAGAGAGAGAGAGGGGGGGAGAGATCTTAGGTATACACTTCTATTGGTAATGTTAAATCCCATCAGATTACTCTCTGGATTATGATTGCTATTTAGTTTTTATTAAATAATAATGTAAATCACTTTAAAATTGAATAAACATAAAGGTTTGATTTCAAATAAGAAACACTATCTATTGATTCGAGTTTGTAGACTTCCCAAAGTGTATAGGATGCTAGAAAATGGACAAGTCTTAATGACTAGATGTAAGTGGACATAAAAATTGTTAAGTCCTAAACATATGTATATTGAATTTATTGATATCTTGATGATCTGGTTGTGAAGGAGTCTTCAATCTAAACCGATTTATTGTTTAGTGCAAAATCCTAGTGACTTATTTGAATATGTAAATCATACATTAAATACATCATTTGCACAGCTTGTTTGTGTTGTCGTTTACGTACTCTATCATTCTTCTGATTCTGTTGTTATTTTGATTGCTCTCCATTTTCTTTCCTGTTCTCTTCATTTCAACCTTATGCTGTTAGGCATTCCACTTCCGACTGGTTCTATATACTACTTATATCTGTTAGCATAAGTAGCATACACCAAACTCACTTTGACTCATTCTAATCTTGATGTTACCTGATTTTGACTGTACTACCAAATTGATGAACAAATAATTATTTGGAATTAAGATGCAATTGTTTTTACTATAGGATCATATGGCGCAATATCGTGAATTGACAGGAGTTATACATATACACTATTTGATCCTAGCTCAGTGGTCTGTAGATAAAGTGCTCGTTCATGAGACCAAATGTCTTGTATTTGACCCCTGAAGTTTAGATCGTGGATGCTCACTGTTAGTGCGTTCCATGCTAGAGGGAAACAGATGTCTAATGCTTTCAATCTTTTAATGATTTCTTTATTTGAACATATAAACATTGGTACATGTGGATACCAAATACGTATGCGCCACACCATAACAATGAGACCAGTAGTAGTGATCATTGATTTGTAGGAAGGCTGTGATCCTGACCGGGTGCCAAAATCGAAGCAAGTGGCTTACTTATAGGGGCCACTCCACAAGCCTTTGACATAAAGACCTAATTGACAAGGCAGTGGAGCAACGTAAGGAGATGCAGTTCTATGGTAGACAGTGACCAACATTTCATTCACACACCATTTGTCCCCTCAGGATCCTACAGCCCATATTCACCTCTAGTTTGGAATCAGGGTTTCCTAACTCCCCTGAGTTGGTCCTCTGCACCCATCAACCAGGTTAAGAGGCTGGACATTCGCTGTTCTTCCTCTCAATTTCGTAAACAATACCCAGTTCTTGAGAAGATAGTGAGTATGACTTCCCTGTTAGTGGTTGTATACGTGTAGTCATGTGAAAGAGATTGCATAGGAAGAGTGAACTGTCTCCACCCTTGACCGTACTAAAGCATTGGGGGGGGGGTAATTATAATCAGTCCATGACCTCAATTACATAGAATTTAGTTTGACTTGAGATTGTTATTAATTGATAAATAAATATTTCAAAAGTATCCCCTTAATTTCTCATTCATATTTCTTTTTCATTATTACAGTTATCACTACCTGAAAGAATTCATACTAAAAAATATTTCACTAGAACTACTAAATGTAAAAGTTTCAAAACAAAACATAATCATAAACATTTTGAAGAGATTCTTGAACATGGTATTCATACTAAGCGATCTATTTATCAACCAAATGATGAAAAGAAAACTGATCAAATCTATATAGATAATGAAGTTAGAAAAGCTATCAAATCTCATAGAGATTCAAAGTTATTAATTGCCTATTTAAAATCATTATTCTCAATTGGAAAACATGATAAACCACATGAGATGTTTTTCTAGTAAAATGTAAACACATTCATTCAAACATATACATAAACACACACATATATATATGTATACATAAGCAAATAAACTACAAAAATTGACCTTCCTAAAGCATACTAACTCCTCTTCACTATACTACTATTACTACTACTACTACTACTACTACTACTACTACTACTACTACTACTACTACTACTACTACTACTACTACTACTACTACTACTACTACTACTACTACTACTACTACTACTACTACTACTAAGAACTAAAGATATAACACTCATTATAAATGAAGCATTTCAACATGCAACTTAAATGCAATCCACTTCTTTTATTTGCCATTCTTTTCTCTTCTCTGAGCAAAATTCAAAACAGATAATAAATAACGATTCAGTGTTCAATGTTTAAAAGAAAATCATATTCTTAAGTTGTTTGTCTTGTTACTTTTTGACGTTATTTCCTTGTTGTAAACTTGTGTCTTTGTTTTTTGTCTTCCTTTATTTGTGTCTATTTCAAATGGACTCAGTTCACTTGGTTTTTTTCTCTAAACCAAAATAAATTTCATTTCTGGATTGAAATTTAATATTTTTCATGAAATGGAATTTTCTTGGCCTGTAAAATTGATACAACTTGATAATACTACTTAATACGAAATAAGTAACTTAATTTTAATGTTCAAATTATCGCATATCAGAAAGCTTCTTGGTCAAGTTGAGCAATTATTTGATTGGAGTTTGCGTGCATGGATTCTAACGTATTGACCTTTCGTTTTACCAGGAGATATACAAGGAGAAAGAAATGAATGAAGTGGATGATTAGTATTTGATAAGATAATACTTTTCAGAAGTTTTCAAGATTTTAGATATCTATTCACAATCATATTCATAATAACATCAAAAGATTCAACACATACTCTGGCTAACTACCTTCAGCACTCTACGCAATACAACAAACAAAGTCTTTTCTCAAAAGTACGGGAAAGAATAATAAGTGATATACAAGAAATGACAAATTTTAAGAATGAATGTCGAGTAATCTCAAAAGCATATAGCTTCTATATGTAGTAAGTCAAACTGAAAACTTACTTCGATCACATTGAAACATGAAAAGACCAAGAGAGATCAGAGGAATAGGTTACACTGAGACAATTGACATTCGATATTGTGTTTACCAAAGAATCTCCAATAATATAAGCATTATAGAATTCCAACAGGGTGTTTAGATGCTGTTCATGTCTCAGGTTAAAGTTAACCAATCATTTCATCCATACACATAAAATATTACCAATATTTTATAGGTTATCAAACATTCATTAAGACATTTTATGGTTCAGGAATGAAGTCAAATTTGCTTGGACATTTGACTAATCTACTGTTTAAAATGAATAAGTGACCGACAAGTCTCTTGAAGTAAGATTGATTGTGTAAATTGATTTGGAGTATTGTAGTCATGTTTTAATTATGTCCTACAACCGACCAGTACGCAGCAAAAACGAGGGAGACTGATACTTTATGCCTGACGATTGGCCGTGAATGAAGTAAACGAACCCAAGATCAATATTCACCAGTTTAACATCGTTATTGTATTTTAGACATATATATATATAAAAGGGAAAAAACAAAATCCCTAAATGCAGTACGAAGAACAACAACTTAATCATACTTGATGAAGAAGCTCTGGAAGATGTGGAATCTTTCACGTATCTGGGAAGCATCATAGATGTACAAGGAGGATCCGATGCAGACATGAAAATCCATTCATATCAAAATATTTAAAACAACCCATTGTGTTATTGAATAAAAGCAATAAGAATTCAACGAAGAAAATTTTCTCTTCGATGAAATCACTTACTTAAGCTGTAAATTCGTATTTGTAGGTGTATGGTAGATATAAGTCTATAAGACGATAAAAAAAGGATGTTTCTTTACAGAGATCTATATAAAGAAAACCGACTTGGAATGGATAGTATACGAATTTCCATAGCTGGATTCCATTGAGCAGAAAGAGATACTTAATTGATTCTTTATCCTCAAGGAATTAGCGTATATGTCCTAATAGCACAATAGATGACGAGCTACTTCATTTTCGACAGATACTCATCTGAAATAGTTATTCATCTAGATTCGTCGATAAGAAATTAACACCTAGACAACATCCTGAAGAAGCACTGACAATTCAAAAGAAAACTCTTCTTTATGAATATCAAATATAAAAAAGATACGTTTGCTGAAGTTTTGGATAAGCTGATTTCAAAATCTCTGTAAAATATTGAAATAAAGGATCCTTTCCACATTTCACTCCTTTTCTCTCATGTCCAAGTTGTCATGTAGATTTAGCCTGTAGTTACTAGAAGAGCTTATGAAACCGATTCAAATGTTCAGTTAGAAGATTTACTATAAACAGTATATAGATTTAAGTTCACTTGATGTTGTTTACTTGTATCTTCCCATTGTTACTTAGGACTGCAATGGATCAGTCTCAAATTAGTATATGTGCATCTTGTGTGGGCTACCTCGATATTGCCTTAGATCATAAGCTTTATAAGCAAAGATGGATAGTGGCTATCAGTGGAATCCAGGACGCGTGTTTCGTCCTATTTGGGAATCGTCAGCTAGATGTACTTGCATCTCAGAGTTGATGTTCGTTCTAGGACATTTCTGTCGAATATCTTCTACCAATTTCTTGTTAAACAAACCAGTATTTGCTTTCACTCTCAACTTTGTAATCTTCCCAATATTATTCTCAATAATGTATAAATGCGTGTATTTTCGACTAAGGTCATCGTCGCGGTCATGTTTTGGGGGTTTAATAACTCTTCACTTATACCAGTTTTTATATTCTTACTTTGGCATCGTGGGAATTGCAGAGGTCCCTCATTTCTAGTATAAGTGATAAGCAATTCCGACATAATAATCAGTGACGACCAGATTTAACAAATAGCGTTCAACCAACAAGACATACTAATCTTCTGCCAATTTATTACTAAACAAACCAGTATTTGCTTTTACTTTCAACTTGGTAATCTCAACATAATTCAAGCCAATTGTCAATGATTTCATGGACTAATGTCATCCTGTAACTCAGTATTCTACTGAAAAACATTATCAACGCCTGATCAAGATAAAGATGAATAGGATAATATTCTATGAAATCCAAATGAATTTAGCCGGTTAACTCTAAGTAAACTAAAGTACATTGTTATGATTAACCAATCTTATTGTAACCCTCATCTTTTACTTAATCATATAAACACATTATAACGTAATGATACCGCCAATTAGAAAACAGTGATTTATTGACTGAACTAATGACGCATAAAACTCGTATGAGGATTCTACAGTCTTTATTGGTCTTTCTCCCTGCCTAAAACCTGCCTGTTTGAGTACAGAACATCAATCTCAGCCTCTGTGATATGAATCATGTATTCCAAAAATACTGTGTTTATATACAAACCAAATAGACTACATCGTACTAAGATTTAGCCTAAAGTGGATGTGAATGTGGGATACTGTAGTTAAAAGACCGGGTATAACTCTCAAACGGTAAGTCGTATAATAATAGTCCATGAGTCAAAATAAAGCTTATAATAAGAGAGACATGAATATACATAGCTTAGTTTGTTCATCTCAAGTCTATGTATCAATGAGTGTGATTGACGATAAACTAGATCATTTTTTAAACAAACGTATTCAAGCATAATCATTCATTGTCATACTTTTACAATATTCGATATTAAAAAAGAAATATAAATGTTTAGTTATCATTCACGTAGATAAAGTCTAATAAGCGACGTTTTTTTCTATGTCATTTAACGACTATAGTGATAGTTCAGTGTATAAGTTAATGACAAATGTTGACAATGTTTAATAGCTTATCAGTTTGTTACAATTAACAATTATTATTTACAGTTGAAATCATGAGTTGATGTAAGCTGAACAATCAGTGAAAAGTTGGAAGTACAGAACACCTCTTTCGTCCTAGTATGGGACTCATCAACAGCGCACGTCCACGATCCTGTATGAGATTCCAACCCAGGACCTTCGGTATCGCGCGCGAACACTTAACCTCTGGACATCTAGCTTAGATCGATTTATGATTCCAACTATTAAAACCCCATCCTGATCATAATCATCATGTACTCACTAGTGACTGGCTTCAATATGATTTCCTAGAGTTCTAGTGAGAAGCTCTGACCAGTGATGTCCAACCCATGTCTGGTAGAGACAGGTATCCACCTCAAACAATGGATAAATCGTTACGCCGCCATTCATGGATCAATGGAATTTAGACATTACCACAATTGGATGCTGGCACAGTGATTTACAGGTTAGGCGTTCGCACGCGAGACTGAAGGTCTTGGATTTGAGTCCCACGTGCGAGGTTCTTGGTGTACACTTCCGAGGGGTCCCATACTAGGACGAAACGGCTGTCCAGTGCTTTCAGGTTTCCACTGATGGTCTAACATAAATCAATTCATGACCTCAATCAAAAATTATGTAAGAGTCACTGACTTTCAATGATTCCTCAATTGATGATATTTATGAGAAAACGACATTCAAGGTAAAATTAAAAAATCTCATTAAACATACATTTTAATGATGTTAACAATTCGGAATTGTTTACAATGATTATACTAATGTATAATGGTTCCAAATAAAAGTGAAACTGGGTGACTAGTGCAATAAAAGTACATTTATTTTCTCAATTATTTACTTATTTTTTAAGAGTTTCATTCCTGAGTTAATGTAAGCTAGTCCACTTTGGAAAACCTAGAAGCACTGGAGGACAGTTTCGTCCTAATATGTGACTCCTCAACAGTGCACATCCACGATCCCACATGTGGGATTCAAACTCGACCTGTCAGTCTTGCGTGCGAACGCTTAACCTCTAGATCAATAAGTTAGCATCCAATGGTGTTAATGTCTAACTTCAACCAATTCATTTATATATTTGCAAACAACTGAGGTAAATTTGTAACATTAGCATAAGGCATAGAAAGGTAGTTAGATTTTCCATTTACAACAATGAATCATAATAAGAATGTTTGATGATGATGTTTGGGAATGTTGATAAGTATTTAATGTTTATTTGAACATCATTGAGACGTTATTTACCTGGATTGGTCAGTTTCGTGTAGTTTAAGTCAACTTCCATTGAAAGAATCTCCTGTCAAGAAACTCATTCAGATGGCTTCAATAATAGCTTAGCCTCCTAGTTCATGGGTGGCCACAGAGAGTTCTTTAAATGATACTTCATTGTTTATACGTTGTTTGTGTGAACGCAGGTAGACAGGTCAATAAAGTAATTTTTATAGTCCACCACTTTAAGATGATAACCAAACCTTCCAAGATAGTTGTTCACCTATTCTCCATGGAACTACTACCGTCAGGCAAAACATAATTTCATGTAATTGGAAGGAAGGTTCTTGTTTTTCTATTATTGTTATCAGTATGGTTTACAGCTAGGATTAAGGAAAGAAGTAGATCTTAAGATTAGAATTATGGTTTAGGATTCAATACAAAAGGTTACAGCTTATATAAATTAATTCTGAATCCTATAATTTAGCCCCTACTCTAACACTAAACTGTATCGGTTAAGAAACTATAGTAGATCTGGGAAAGTTGATTGATCGGGCAAAAATATTATAATTACCACTTAATTTTGATCAAATTGAAATATACCCGACAGTTGGAGAGGTTATTCTGTATTAGGTAGTTGAAAGAAATCCACAGACTGAAAATTCTTGCTAGTTGATACTAGTCAGAAAGACTTATTTGGAATCTTCATTGATAGGATAGAAATATTCTGTTGCCCAAGATCTGA